TAAAATTTTTCATATGATGGCATAAAAATATCTCATTGATTTTCAAATTAAAAAAATGGTTTAAGTACGCCTAAAAGTATGCCGCAAAATATGAATTATTTTGAATGCCTAATAATTAGCATAAATCACTAAATATAATATAATTAGTAATAGAAACGGTCTTCGATTTCTAGGAATAAGGACCTAAATTTATATTTTGCCAAAAAGTATGCAATAAAATCTACATTATATTCAAAATTCCAATTAATTGATAACAGACTCTACAAATGATTAAATATCTCTTGCACAATTTGTTTGTTGTGCGAAACAAACTACGTTAAGCTAATCTAGTGGGAACCTCGAAAAAAACATGAACAAAAATAATAATAAAAAGTGTTTTTGCCTCATTTATGGCCCTTTTTATGGCTACACGCCAACATATGTTGTTTACCACAAAAGAAAATAACATAAAAATAAAATTCAGACAAAAATAAGAGATTGTCAGCACCAACAAAAAAAAAAAAAATTGAACTAAACGAAAACAAATTTTATTTCCCTCCCAAAAAAAGAACGAAAAAATATTTGAAGAAATTGTGTCGAAAAATATAAAGCCACAAAATATGCTATCATAAACACTGGTAACCGCATATCACAGCTTACAGTAATACGCACGCAACAACATATGCCAGCCACGGAGGAGGGCACTTTGGTTGGACTATTTTGGTTTTTTTTTATTTTTTTTTTTCTTGCAGAAATCTCTTTACTACTTATTTTGTTCATGTGTTTTTTTTTTATTAAACATAGCATATGTTAAGGCGTATTACATATGTTTTGACATTGTCATTCATAGTTTTAAGGCAGTTAACCAGTCTGGTGACATTAAGCGGCAAGTGTATTAAAGTAGACAACTTTTAAGGGCCACCATAATTTTCTTGGGAGCCTTTTTTATGGCTGCAATAGAAGGATAGAGGAACAAAGAGATGGCAGAAAACTATTTAACAGTTTTTTTTTTTTTTTTTTGCCAAAAAAAGTCAATAAGTCCCCTTTTTCTAATGACCAAAAACATCTTAGAGTACATAGAATAATGTAAAGGAAAGCCAGCCTTAGTTTATGACTGGCAACAAGGATAATCATCTTTTGATGCCATAAAACTGGACAATTCAAATAAATAAAATAACTTTTAATACAAAATGGTGTTAAATGTAATTGTGTTACGCCCACCCATCCGACCAACTTCATGCCATATCCCAAAAAGGATTTGGCCTTTTTATGTATATATATTTTAGTCAAGAGTTAACGATGGCTATACATAAATTATGATAAATTATAAATTATTAGTTTCCGGACCTTTTCAGGATATGCCGTTTATTTTCGAACAACTTAGTTTGGTGGATGGTTCATTGGTTGGCTTTCAGTTTCAATGGTTTAGTTAGTCAGTTTTCCAATTGGGTTTTTGTATTTTAGGTGCAAGTGCCTGGTTGCTGGGCTCATAAAATTAAGCCAACAAATTTTATGTTTTTGGCCCTCAACGCCACCATTACAATCACCTCTACAACCTAATTTGTTTGTAGAGGGTCGGTCTTCAGTTTCAGCCATTATGTTTTGTTCATTTTATTAACTATACTGTTTTTCGTTACATATATATACAGGATTTTTTTTCGAACATAATTTTCTACGTGCTCAAACTTTTATGACCCGCTAATGTACGTGCTTAAATTTTCGTGTTTGTTAGAGAACGGCGAAAACACGAATATTCATTTTTATTCTGGCTACCACACTCTTACAATTGTTGGTGGTATAGCTATGTTGCTACCACCACCACCACCACCACCAGCACACACCCAACCTACCCCATCCACGGTTATATTAAACCATAAAAATACGAATTTTTGTAAATACCATTACAGCTACTCTGGCTGCTCTACAGGGTTAAATACGAAAAATTAAAATCCAAACAATGTTAAAAATAAGTTGTTGTAAATATTGTCACACTCTTAGATGTATGTATCTAAAACAATTTATATTTCAATGATAATAAATTTATTTAATTTAAAAATTATATATATGTATATGTAAAATACGAACATTTTTATTCACTCTCCAGAATTTATGCAAAACATTTTTACTTAATTTTAAATTTAATTTTACTATGCAAAAATAAAACAACAACAAAGCCAACATTCTACAAAAATATATATGAGAATAAACTGTAAATGGCCCTTAGGGTTGTTTTATAGCAATTATTCCATACAAAAATATGCATGCCAGTTGAAATTTTGTTACAGCAAATAAAACAAAAATCGAAAAAACACCGACATGAAAATTGAGAGTAATGGAAATTGTTATTTATTTGACAAGTAAATAAATTAATACATAATTTATTATAATCATAGTGTATAACGTATGTGTGTGAAAGTTATTTGAAATTTTACATAAATATTTCCAAAAAAAATAATATTAAATAAATTACAAAACAAAAAAAAAAACAAAAACATTTTTGGGAGTTAACAAATTAAAATGATATAATATTTTTGAAAATCTAGGTAAAAACATTTCATCAAAAACATTTTCTATACCTCTTATATGAAATCGGATCAAAACCGCTCTAAGAAAAAGTTCATCTCAATCAGAGAAACATTGGGTATTTGGTTTAGAATTTGCATGAAATCGGACAAAAAATTATGGAAGAGCAAAATCTGTTGGGTCACAATTTCGAAAAAAAAAATATATATATATATAGAAGCTATTACTAAATCCGATTTGACTTCACCAAAACTTAATACACTTCTCACATGCCTTAATATGGAACACTGTGAAAAAATTCGAAACGTTTAGATGAAATCGATCGGTAATATATACAAAAGCTATATCCAACACTGAACCGATTAGAAAAATATATATGGGCTCAAGGTATCAATGCAATATTTCATCTCAATTGGATAATCATTGGGTATTCGTAGCATCAAAACTTAATACACTTCTCACATGCCTTAATATGGAACACTGTGAAAAAATTCGAAACGTTTCGATGAAATCGATTGGTAATATTAATAAAAGCTATATCCAACGCTGAACCGATTAGAAGAGAACGTAAAACACTTCATTATGGTCTCGATTCGGTATGCTCTGCAATATTTCATCTCAATTGGATAATCTTTGGGTATTCGTAGCATCATTTTGATAAAATCGACATAAAATATATATGGGAGCGATATATAAATCTAAAATAATTTCCCAACATTTGTATACCCCTTGGGCCTAGAATCGGGAAAGATGTGGGTATTTTTTGAAATTTTTTATATATGTGGGGAAAAAGAAATCAATTTCGGACATTTCGATTTGTGCCAAATATGCACCATTTTCTGGTATAATTTTTTGTCATTTTAAAGATAACCTCATAATGGCTCTCTCATAGAAGTTCTGCTCTCAATTTGCAAACAACTCTATAGTAGTCGATTTTCACACTCCTCCCTAGATACTATGTTTTTTTTATCAATAAATAAATTTTGCAATGCAAGAAAATTGTTATAATCGCTTGGTGTCGGACTGTATGGCGGATGCATTAAAACTTCCCCGACCAAGCTTCTGAAGTTACTGCCGAGTCATTGTAGATGTGTCTGGCCTAGCGTTGTCCTGGTGGAACACGACACCTCTCCTATTGGCCAATTTTGGCCGTTTCTAGTCAATTGCGATCTTCAAACGGTTAAGTTGTTGACAGTAGAGATCAGAATTAGCGTTAGACCATATGGAAGCAACTCATAATAAATAATCCTCTTCCAGTCCCACCAAGTGCATAGCAGAACCTTGCTGGCCGTTAGTCATGGTTTTACCACCGTTTGAGTTGCTTCACCACTCTTTGACCACGATCGTTTTCGCACAGGGTTATTGTATGTGATCCATTTCTCATCTGCAGTCACCATCCGTTTAGGAAATGGCTCTATCTCATTGCGTTTGGCCAAGGCTTCGCAGGTGGAAATTCGATCTTTACTATTTTTTCTGTTAATTGGTGTGGCAACCAAACATCGAGCTTCTTTTTAAATCCAGCATTGTGTAAATGTTCGATTTTTAGCTCCTGGGCGATGCTAACATGATGGTCAACTTCGATCATTTCTCCGATTTTATCGACATTTTCGACGACCGGTCTAATGGATTTCTTTTTTGCCCAACCTAATATAATTCTGAACCGTATAAATCAGCTGTGCCTAATTGCATCTCATGCGGTTCAGTCAGACATCAGAATGAACGGACCTGCAAAAATCGACTCAAAAATGATTCTTAGCATATCCTCAAAAGTAACTGTGGGTCCTTCCTGTTATCTTTGTGTTACAAAAATATGTCCATAGACATAATACCTTATAGCACAGTGTGGTATAGGCTATAAATATCTTTGATATTCGTTTAAAATTTAAATTTTTATTTCCAACATTTCTCAAATACTTTTTCTATTTACTAAAAACAAAACCCCTCCATTACTCTCAATGATCACAAAATAATATTTTCAATAATCTATTTATTCAACACACCATTTTTTTCCACACCAAAAAAATCTATTGTATATAAAACACCAATTAAATATTATTTTATAAATTTCTATATAAATTAAGTGCAAAAAATCAAAACTTAGTTGCATACCATTTTAGCAAATTTATATAACAATTTTTTTCTCAATTATATCACCACAATTAAATAATTAAATAGTTTGAGTTCTATTAAATAAAAACAACAACAAAAATATATTAAAGCATTCATGAAATCATTTATAAATTATACAAATAAATATATTTTTTTAATATTATTAAATAAATAAATCAAATTCAGTTTTTTAGTTGCATCATTAAATTTCATAACAAAAACAATCCATAAACATTTTTAATAATTTTCATCAATTAGAAATAATTTAATAATGACAAATTTTTGTTTTACTTTTTCCTCCGCCTCCCCTCCTACCAACGTGTGTGTGTCCTGTTCTCCTTCCATCATCCAATGAAATTACTTTTTCACATATATATAAATAAATATAGCCGTGTATCTGTGATGCGTGGTCAAGTAATAACACCTCAAGGATTGGGTATTGTCGGCATACGTGTCTCTGTGGATCGTGATTCGAGATTTGGTTTTACCCTAACACGCCAGGGTGGATGGTAAGTAGAAAATATACATATTTTTTTTTTTTATTATATTTATGTAAATATGTATAGGTTTTATGAATATTTTATGATGAAGGGATAAAGTATTCCTCAGATAAAAATTTAAAGTAAAAAATTTCATTTTTTAACTGGTAAAATTTCTTGATATCACTACTCATTTTTCTATATCGTCACAATATTCTTCAAGAAAATTTTAAATTTCTTACCAGTATCCTTTGCAACAACTTATTCTCCTTTGTTAAAAATAAGAATATAAATATTTTTCTGCTTTAACCGAGATTTTTTCTGAAAAAAAATGCACAGACATAATTAAATTATTTTTGTGTTTTGGTTTGTTATGCCTCAGTTATTTCTAATTCAGATTTAATTTCATTGAAATAATGATAAGATTTTCTTTGATGTTTAACGCACTGTGTGCTGAGGGGTTTCCCATGAAAAGCTTTTCACAGAATTTACCAAAATTCTTTAATATCGGAATGTTTAGAGTTTTTTTTTTGTATTTAAACATTCTTAAGGATAAACAGCAAGGATATATTTCTCATCATATTTGATGGAATTTAGTCCTTCAAATATTCATAATTCAAGCAAAGTCGATAAATTATTTATTTCATTAGAGTACAACCCTAAAGGGAAAAAATATAAATCTACTTTAACCTGAGAGGGGTGAAAAACTGGATCCTGATTTTTACATTTAAATTTTCATAATGTGACACCTTATCCAAGTCGGGTCCTATGATATTTCTACCACAATCTTTCGGCCTTCCTTGTAGGAGAATTTTTTTCTACTTTTTGCAGATATCAAACCAATTTGTTAATACCCGCCTCTATTCAGGCATACTTCCATTTAGTTGTTGTTTCCTTCTCTAACATATCCGTCTTTTCTTTATTGTTTATAAAAATAAATTAAAGTAATTTATCTTGAAGACAAAATACCACAATTTGGTATACGTTTTCTTTTTATTTTATTTATATATGTTTCACAAAGGAAATCACAATAACCTCTAAACTGAAGGACAATATAATATATGAAGAGACCAAAGAAGAAGAAGAAGATGTAGTAAAAAAAGAATGAACGGAAATAACTACATTTTCACAAACGTAGTTAGATTATAAATGTAGAACAACGGGAATAAAATGTGATTTATATTAGGGTGTAATGCAAAAAGTAATACAATGCAAAAATATCAACCCATGGAATTTATATCCCTTTAAGTCTGACTGGTAAACTTGGCTAGGATCATCAACAAATTGAAAAGGGTTGGCGAACTTTTTCGGGGCTATGTAAAAAAGTGAAAAACGCGTTTAAAATTGACCAATAATACTCTCAAATAACTCTCCCCCCCAGGTTTTTATACCCTACACAACTATGTTGTCAGGGTATTATAGCCTTGTGCAGCCCCAAAAGTTTGCAACGCCGCGAAATATTGGTCCTAGACCCACCCTTAAGTATGCCGATCGTCATATCTCGACTAGCTGAGCCGATCTAGACATGTGTGTGTGTGTCCGTCCGTCCGACTGTCCATTATTTGTAAACACGATACAGGCCACAGTTATGGACCAATCTTCACGAAATTTTGCATGTAGGATGGGTTCTGGTCAATGAAGACCCCTATTGTTATACCCTTCACCACACTGTGGTATATGGTATTATGTGTATGTACATATGTTTGCAACAGGCAAAAGGAAACAAGATAGACCCATAGTTCCTTTTGAGAATATGCATAGGATCACTTTCTGAGTCGATTTATGCATGTCCGTCCGTCTGTCCGTCTGTTGGTGTTAAATTGTAAACAAAGTACAGGTCGCATTTATACTCCGATTTGGATTAAATTTGGCACAGCTCATTTGTTTGGCCCAAGGACAAACCCTATTGAAATTGAGAAAAATCGGATCATTTTTACATATAGCTCCCGTATATATTTTCGCCCGATTTAAGGTAAATGGTGCACCAAGTTTCGAGAAAATCGGTCCAGATTTAGATATAGCTCGCATATATAGTTTCGCCCGATTTCATATAAATGGTGCACCAAAGTCTCTATATATCTTTCGATTTGCACGAAATTTGGCATAACGTACTGAATTGAGCCCAGAGTGATGTCTGCCAAGTTTCTTTTTTTATTGATGTCTGCCAAGTTTCGTTTTTAAATTGATACCAATTATATTGTCGTATGTACTCGGATGTGAGAGCTACGCTTAAATATTTACAGGTGCTTACCTACTCAGATATTATTTAGTAACCCATTATCACACTAGAGAACGGAAATATAGCGCTGATTGCTTTGAAATTTTCCATGAGGTTCCAGTTATGGTCAAGGACAACGCCTATAATAGGTCGAAAATCACATCACAACCCACGGTGGAGGGAATCTGTACTAAATATGAATAGTAATATTCGGAAAATATGTCAGATGCTTTTGACCTCTAATCGGGCTAGAATGACAAAATATCACAAAATATTGCCCAGGTTCGAAATAAACATCCACAGAAAGATAGAGTTGCGTAGTAGTTGTGTAGGGTATCGTATGGTCGGCCCCGTCCGACCATACTGCTCCGCTCACTAGTTTATTACTTCAAAACTATTTTTAAAATGTTCCACACTAAAATACTTTAAATTGTCCACATCACACCCCAATAAACCTCATAAATAATATTGGCCACAGTATCGTGCTTACATGACCACACCAACACTTACTTCCTTTCTTGATTTTTTTTTCCTACAACAACCAGTCATCAGTGACCAAAAAGAAAAGAAGAAGAAAAGAACATGTGTTGTGATGAGATTTTTAACATGGTATCTTCTTAAGATGTTGCCTTCATGCAGTAGCAGAAAAGAAAAAAACACTAAGAAATCCAATTTTGTTGAGCCATTTCCTTTGTATTTTTCTTTCCTTTGATAAGGACAAATATAAAAAATAATAATAATAAAAAAGGGAGGACTCTCTTTCGGCCATGAGTGAGTGAGCGAGTGAACGTCTCAATGGATGAATAGTTGTACAACAACAAAAATGTATAAAGGATACAACTTTTGTGTGTTATATGTCACAAGTATAAGTGATAGCTTGTTGTGTGTCCTTAGTTTGACCGTGCACATATATAATACACATACACTCTCTCTCTCACTCTTTCCCTTTGTGCTGGTATGCGGTGTTGTTGAATATCTTATATATGTTTGTATGTTATGTAGGTGTTTGTGTCTCATCTCATTTTGACTTACTTCTTTGATACAAGTTTTCTACATACCAAGGATTTTGTGGGTTATTTACTATCGTCTGCTTCAATTCGTTTCACAGTTCAAAGGACTTATTTCCACTTGAAGGACATGTTTGTAGTTTCTCGGTTTTTTTTTGAGGAAATTGCATGCATTTCCTGTTTAACCAAAAAACCCATCCGTACAAAGAATGGATCTTTGGAGAATATGATGATTATAAATGTAAAGAATATAATATATTTCAAAATCATCATTAAGTAGAAGACAACCAAATTGGGAGATATTATGCAAATGTGACAACAATGTTGCTGACCTCTAGAACAAATATATAAAGTGTTTCAAGAATCCTTAGCCTCATTAATGGAAATACAATAAAGCTTAAAAATGCAACCATTTACACATGTTGTAAATATAAAAAACCCTCACCTCCGAACCAATCGTAGTTCAATTTTATATTCACACACTCATACACAAATAACCCAATTTCCCTACATTAAAATGTCTCAAACCAATTACTTGTTGTGTTGTTAAAAAACATCAGGCATTCAATTTTTTTTTCTTCCTTTTACATTGGTATGGGTGTTACACATACATACATGTAATATAATGGAAAATCATGTATAATTTAATGTCGATTGTAAGCACAAAAAAACGTTGCAGCGCAAAAAAAACTACAATTGTCCAATTGCAATAATGTGTCTACTATTATATTATTCAACAAATACACATACATATTCCAACACTTGCACATATGGACATGAAAAAAACACACACCAGCATTCGCTGTGGCAACAACTGTGTACATGGCGGCGGCATAGTACATTTAATTAAATTGTCGGATTCATTGTATATGTTGTTAGCTGAGTTTTTTCCCCTTTTTCTACTTTTTAATAAAAAAACTATTCGATACTGGGGCATTAACTGTTTTTTTATTACTCAGTATCGGTACCCAATCACTGTAACATTTCCAAAAGACATTGTTATTTCACTGAAATGCATTTAAAATGAAAATAATTGTTTAAATATTAAGGTTTGGTTTAATGAAAAATAAAAAATATTAAATATTAAACTATTTAAAAGTTTCACGATGGTTAAAATTGAATTCAACACATCGCTTTAGAGCCGGGAGACAGATGTAGCTAGAACAAATCAATCAATGATCGTAGAAAACTATTAAATGAAGAAAGCAGTGAGCGGAGCAGTATAGTCAGACGGGGCCGACCATACAATACCCTACACAACTACCACAGAACTGAAATATTCTGCGGATGTTTATTCCGAGCCTGGGCAATATTTCGTGATATTTGCACCCTCTTGTCCGATTAGAGGTAAACAGCATCTCTTCTTCACACTGACATATTTTCCGAATATTACGAGTATTCAGTACAGCTATTGTCCAGATTCCCTTCACCGTGGGTTGTGTTGTGATGTTCGACTTTCATTTGAGGTCTATAGATCGACTCGAAAATAACACAAAAAATTAAGTTTTCGGTCCACTTCATTTCAAAATTATTATTTAATCATCACCGAAAATTATAGGCGTTGTCCTTAAACATAACCGGAACCTCATGGAATATTTCAAAGCGATCAGCGCTATAGTTTCGCTCTCTAGAGTGATAATGGGTTACTAAATAATATACGAATACGGAGATACCTGTATTTAGGTGTAACTCCCACATCCGAGAACATACAACAATATAATTGGTATTAATTTAAAGGTCAACCACTCCTCTTGGATATAATATTAACATCGCGGGTCTATGTTCTTCAGGGGTAAATATATACG